AGAATCTTGAAGAATATACAGTTTCTAAATTTGGAGATAATTTAGGAATATTTGATTGAAGACCTTGTTTGTAGTAGAAGCTACTACTGGTTGTTACAATTGATATATTTTGAATTCGATGGCCCAAATCTAGTTGGGTATAGGTTATAAATAGAAGTGTTTGTAACCTAGGAAAGGCACAAGTTCAAGATGCAGAAGTCTAGGGCTTTATCTTTTTTCCGCTCTCTAGGAGAGTTGGTGTAAGTGAAGCACTTGGGTTGTGAGATGGTCACTGTTGTTCTCACTCAAAAACTTTGAAGAAACTTCAAGTTGTAGTCTTAGTCAAGAGTCTTAGCTAGTGATTGTCATGGAAGTGTGTCTTCCTGTTTGTTCAAAATTTTGTTGACCCAATCGTTGTTTGTGATTGAAGAACGGTTGAGGAGGGCCTCATATAGAGATTAGTCTTAGATATAAATATAGAAAGGGTAGTGATTAGGTGATTAGGATGTAAGTTGGAGGTTTGTTGTAGGGTCTATGAATTGATATTATCATAGTGGATTTGTACCTGGCTTGGTATGCCCCCAAAGTAGGAGAGTTTCTCTGAACCGGGTTAACATTTTTGACGTGTTGTTTATGCTTTTCAGTACTATTTTTATTGTTGATACATTTTTTGTTTGTTTATGTCGAATCAGATGTCCCAACATGTCATAGGAAATTTGAATTCTGTCATACCAGAAATTCAATTGGTATTAGAGCAGTCATCATGTCTGTTTCTGGATGAGATCCATGGGGGATACATTCTGGTGTATGTGAAAGGTAGAAGGTTCTACTGAACATGTGTTTGAACTTGGAGAGTTCATATTGTTGCTTGAGCGGTCCCTAGAAATAGAGGATGGACTTTTCATGGCATGATGTGTATTAGACTTGTTTATGTTGTTTTCAGATGTGTAGCTTTGGTGGTAAGATATTATGTTGAGGAATTGATTTAGTTTCAAATCCAGAATAACGTATTGCACCGAGATTTTGGTGTATGTGCGCAAGGGTTTATGTTTTTTCTTGAATGTTGGTGTGCAGTTTTTTATTTGTATTCCGCTGCATATATATCTAATGGAAAACTCATGGTGGTTTGGTGTGTAAAGGATGCAACACACTGTTCTCCTCTGAAGCTGTATCCCGTGGTGTGGTGATACTTGAGGAGATGTTTGACTAGGTTGCTAGAGTTTCCAAAGATACTCGAGGTTTATCCCAAGTCCAATTATAAAGAAGTTCTTATGTGAGTTTGTTGAAAAGAGATCTGATAGAGGCAATTTATTTTTGCTTTCAACCCTAAAAGGCCAACCTTCAGGCTTTGATAAAGGATCTCTTGATGTGTTCCGTGTAAAGGGAACTAATGTCCTACTGGATGTTGGAACATCAAGCCAGTAGATTGTGAAGAATCTGGTTGGAAAAAGGTAGGGCATATAATATGCTTAGGGGCTAAACAAATGTGTCTTAAATCACATATGTTTGGGACCTACTCCTGATCTGGAAGAGGGGGCATCTGTATCTAAGAAGTTTCTATGATAGATACGTGTCTTAGATAAGTATGTTAGTCAGGACACGACCAACATATTTGGCACTCTTTAGATTAGTTTATTTCTGATCCAAGTGAGTTGGTGAGTAATGGTTGTGCTTTATTATAGAGGCTTGATAAAGGTATCTCATCCAAATCCTTTATATGCAGAGGACAAGCTATAGTGTCAAGAACTTTCTCTCTAACATTTGGAAGATCCTTCTGATCAAAGGAGACATGCTTATGGAATCTTATTTATGGACATGGAACAAATTCTGGTTGAGGGAAGTAATTCACTAACCATGGGGTGTGCAACTAGTGTGTGGTTTTCAAGAAATTCTTAGTAGTTAATAAGGGAGAGTCCTTAATCTGAATCTAGAAGATCTTGAAGTAATATCAGACAAAATGTCTTGACATCCTTGGATTGAGAATTTATTTTTCTCAATATGACTGGACATCTCGTTAATAGGATAGAGGTTGTTTACTCTAAATTGACATCTCTTGTCAAGTCTATGAGAGAATGAAACTCTTATTCTATTAGAAAATTCATCCAAGGGTTGGGTGCATTTGAGTTGTTTCAACCTACGCTAAGAGGTTGATTGTTATATGCACTTTGGAAGTTTCATCCAAATCACCTAGGATAGGCATTTTAAGTTGTTTGAAGCAAGGAGGAGTTCTTAGGAAGTTCCTCTCTCTGCTAGGATTCAGTTATATGGTGTCTTCACATAATGGATCAAATGTGTTTGCAAGGACTGAAGAGAATCCTTGTGTATTGGGAGAAGCAGACTTAGTTTGCACAGTCTGCTTGTGGTGTAACATGGTCATACATTGTCATGGTTGTTGAAGTCTTTTCTAAATACCTGTTAGAGGGAATCTCCTCTTTAGGTGCAGAATAATGGCGTCCAACATTTCAAAGTCAAACAGGAGGTCTGAAGTTTAAAAGTTTTAGAAGAAGATTCTTGATATGTGCAATATGTAGGTTTTTGCATGTATGTATGATCCAGTGTAGAAAGATGATTAACTATTGATGGTTGATCCTTCTTTATCCATTACAAGAGTTACGAATTACTATGGTATCTCCAAACCATAGTTAATGGTGAAATCCAGGTGTTTGAGACTGATGTCAGATCTGGTGTTAGAACATCATCTCAAAGTTTGTTTTATTCCTTCAACCGAGGAAGTTGTTATTGTCCAGAGTGGAGCTAAGGTCAAGCCAGTGACCTAATCTAGAATATTTTATGATATTAACGAATGTCATCAGCTGGTACCAGACGTATGCAGAAGAAGGTTGTCAGACCAAATGTCCTACCTTATTGTTATAATTTGGTTGTAATTTTTATGTATTTGTTTTAGCCAAAATTTGTCAAAGGGGGAGATTATAAGTTCCTTAGTTTTAAGGATTGACAATAGTTTTTGTAAAACAAATATAGCAGTAATATGTTTTTAAGATGCCTCCTTTATATAAGAGAAAAATTGACTCAAAATGAAAATAACGCGTGAGCCTAATTAAGGGTCTAATCGATCCTTAAATAATAGATTATTGTGGCAAAAAAAAGTAAGGTTTTAATATAGAGTCGTTATCAATCATTAAGAGACTGTCATAATCTATTATAGACTTAATTAGAAATTATACAATTAAATAGGCAAATGATCAAACCGATTATATAGGTTGAAAAGACTCATAATCAAGCAAACAATCCCCTAATTAACTATCTAGGTCTTAAAAATTAATTAGGTGATTTTGTTAAATAAAGAGAGGGCTTAAAAGTATTTTAAGTGTGTGTTTGATTAGCCTTAGTATCTTAGTAGTTACTCTCCTAGTTTCACAAGACTCTAGTCACTCAAACAGACACGACCAAACGAGCTTTCACACTTCCTCTCTTTCACAACTCTAAAGCTTTCAAGTTCCTTTACTAGATATCTCGATCATATAGGTACTTCACTAGAACATTGAATCTTTTCCTTGATGATTCTTGAGATATCTTCAAGTTAATCACCATCATTAAAGAGTTGGAAATATATCACCACCAAATTTAGCATATATCCACACTTGAAACTTCAAAAAAAGGAGATCTGGTTCTTTGGTGGAGAGACAGTGGTTTTTCATGAAATTAGTGAGAATTAGTAGTTGATTCCCACAAATGACGTCAATGTTCAGCTAGGAACTAGAAGTGAAAGATGAGGTAACGAAGTTGTGTCTTGTTGCGGTGAATTTGTACTTTTTATGCAGTGGATAGTGGCTGACATGCAAGTTTATCACTCCAAAGCCTAAGCTAGAGAGTGAAATTAGAAGTAATGTGTGAGTGAGAATGAATTTGAATACTTGAAATGATGCACTTTATCTTTATATACTTAGAGCGGTGAAATTTTTTACGTATAATGTGGTGTGTTGTGCAGACAATAATCAGATTGAATCTTTGATGTGTTGGAGAGCGGAATTTCCAACGTTAGGTTAGGACGAAGCTCCACCTGCTCTCCGTGCTTTTCAAGTCAATATTTGATCCTTGACTTTTTTTATGAGTCTTGCATATAACCTAAAACAATTCACAAAATAATTAAGGAACTCGAATATGTATCATTTATGTCTTTACATATTCATCGAACTATTTTTAATTAAATTTCACTTATTTTTCAATTAAATTCAAAATTACTAATACCCTATTCTTTTGACAACAAGAGGTTTAGACAAATAAAAATCTTAATCAACAAAAAACGTAGTAGAACTAACAAGGGCAATCAACTTTCTTGTTGAGGAACTATTGTCATACTATTTGTAGAAAGTAATTAATGGTGTCTTGCTCCCCATTATCTATCTCATCAATTATTTTATTTTATTTAGGACAATTTTGAATTTAAATTTATATTATTATTTGTTATTTATATTTGTCATAACTCTATAAATACAATTTTTTCCTAATATGCAACAAACCAACCCCAAACACATTAACTTTGTTATATTTAACCTTAGAAAGTTCTATCCATTATCCACAACAGAAATTATAGTGCTAACAAACAAATGCCAGTAAGCATCACAAGTCTAAATTCAAAGCTCCTTTGAATTATAAGTAAGACCAAGACAACATATTTTCAAATTCATGTTGCAATTTTATTATATCAAGAACGTGCCAATCATAAAAAGACCATATTTTCATTTCTTTAAAGCAAGTAGCAAACTATAGCCTAATAAATAGTGTAACTTTCAACAAAGGCCACATTTTCTCTTTGGGGTCCAAAATATTATGGGTCCACATGTTTTGGTCTAGATTAAGCATCATCATGTGAAACTACTATTGTCCTTCACCTGACATGTTCCTAAACATTCTTCATGGCTATCACTTATCAAACAATATTATTACTTACTCCCCTCTATATATAATATCTCTAGAGATGACAATTTAATTCAAACTCTTAACTAACTCTTCTCTACTTTACATTAAATATTTTTCTATCATTTATAGTTTTCTTCATCATGAAGACTACAGGTAACAGATTTGTAGGAATTGTTCAAGCTAAACAGAAACTTCAAAGAACACTTTCACAAAGAATTAGAATGGCTTCAGCTTTTGGTGATGTACCAAAAGGACATTTAGCAGTTTATGTGGGAAATGACCATAAAAGGTTTGTAATTCCAATATCATTTTTGAGTCATCCTTTGTTTAGAGATTTGTTAGATTGGGCTGAAGAAGAATTCGGATTTAATCATCCAATGGGTGGTCTCACAATTCCTTGCACCGAAGATTATTTTATTAGTCTAACTTCTTCTCTTAATTAGTAAAAATTTTGATTATTGATTTGTTTGATTATTGCTACCAAGTTAGATAGGAGGAACTGAATTTGGTCTCTTGATCAATTCATGTTGTTGTGGAAATTCACCTAATAATTTCCGAATTCTTCTGATGTACCTATAAATCGTAGTACATTAGATTTTTTGCAATTTGAATTCGAGCAACTTCTCGAGTTTTTTTTATTACAGAGCAACTTCTCGAGATGTAACACTTAAAATTGCAATGTAGTAGACCAATAATTTATTAATTTTCTCCATTTTACTTTTAAGTTTTAACACTATAAATTTAACGTTGAAAAAAATAATAACGCCATAAGTAAATCTTCAATCAAATTTTAAGGGTAATTTCTTATTTAGTGACGGTTCTTCCATAATGCCACTAAGAGAATAAGCCACGGTTTACCAAAAACGTTACAAACAATTTGGCATTCACATGACAAGTTAATTTTCTTGGGTAATCTTTCCCAGTTTTTGTTTGGTTTGAATTTTGAAAATAAAAGAATGTTTTACCTAAAGCTCAAAAATTGTTCTTTTATAGTTTTTGTCTTTCTACTTTCACTTGTTCAGAGTAGATCCTTCAATTTTAAAATCTCACAGTTTTAATCCGACTCTTAGAGTTTTAACTCAAAATTATAGAATAGTTTGTTTTACATTACATTAAAAATATAAGAAAATTCTTTAAATTCTACAATTTCAATTTCATGAATGATTAATTCTTATAATTAAATTAATTACATATAAATATTGGTAAAAATAGGTGAGACACCTATCAGAGGCCTACACACTATCTTACACAGGCCATACTTTTTAAAATAAAATAAAAAACCTAAACTTTTTTTAATGAATCTACTTAACTAAAAGGGTTAATCAACATGTTATAAAAAGTTTTTTAAATATTTCAGATCAACCTATTTAAATAAATATGAATGATTTTACTGTTATATTATTATTATTATTATTATTATTATTATTATTATTATTATTATTATTATTATTATTATTATTATTATTATTATTATTATTATTATTATTATTATTATTATTATTATTATTATTATTATTATTATTTATTTTAGATTAAAATACCAAAATAAATCTTAACTAAAAGGTGTTAAATTGTAATTCATAGGTGTCAAAAGAAGATTTGATTTGTTTAGATTTAAATAGATTTGAATTTAAATCTAGATTAGATTTGATTTAGTAAAGAGATATTTTGGGCTTGGGTTTAGCTTAGGGAGCAAGCTAACCTAAGTCTATAAATAGAGGGAGTAACCCTTATTTTGTAATCAAGTCATTCACAGTATTTTGCAGTTGCAAAGTGAATTAATAAAGTTTCCACAGTTTGTGGGCAGAGAGAAACTCTGCAGAAATAATTCTATTGTCTTTTCTTAGTTTGTTTCATAACTAATCATCAACTGGTGGTCGAAATTCATCATTGAGTATTGATGGATTTCCAACAAAAGGGTTAATCAACATGCTATAAAAAGTTTTTTAAATATTTCAGATCAACCTATTTAAATAAATATGAATGATTTTACTGTTATATTATTATTATTATTATTATTATTATTATTATTATTATTATTATTATTATTATTATTATTATTATTATTATTATTATTATTATTATTATTATTATTATTATTTATTTTGGATTAAAATACCAAAATAAATCTTAATGATTTTGAAAATATTATGAAAGTAAATTGCAAACAATTATGAATAATATAATTTCATAAATTATCTCATTTCTCCCCATTCATATCACAAAGTGTATGCTATTGGATAAGATCAGATAAGTCAAGACCAACAAATATTATTCTAATGTCTTTAGTTGATTAATCTATTTAAATTTTAATTAAATTGTTTATTGACATATATTCAATTGAATTAGGCTTTTAATATAATATCTGATCAACTAAGTCTTCAAGAAGGCCAAATTTAAATTGAAAAAATAAGTATATGATAGACTATATTGTCTAATTTTGGCTTTGATTAGTTTAGTAGATCATATTTAAGTTTGGAAAAGAATAACTGATCCAATCTATTCTCACCCTTACGTATAAATAATACATCATTTTATCTTAAATTATGTAATTTAAAATAGAGATATTGATAGTAACTTTTATCACCTTCAATAAATGATCTCCATATTCAATTTAATACTCGAGTTAGATCCATTGAGATTTACTACTACAAATAATATATTTTATGATGAAATATCAATCTCGACCAACAAATATCCGAAGGGTAAATCATAGACGCATCACATTTTAATTTTTTTTTAAAATACCATATATTTTCTTGGTTTTACTGAAAACCGAGGGATAAAGTATTTAAAAGACACGTCTTCGAATACCGACAACTACATTTTATCACCTTTTAGGTTTTTAAAATTTTTCTATGACGTATTATCTCGGTTTTGCTAAAAACTGAGGGATAAAGTATTTAGAGGACACATCTTCGAATCCCAAACAACATTTTATCACCTTTTAATTTTTAAAATTTTTTATAACCTATTACCTCGATTTTGCTGAAAACCGAGGAGTACAATATTTAGATGACACGTCTTCGAATTCCAACAACTACATTTTATCACGTTTTAATTTTATTTAAAAAATCTTATGACGTATTAACACGGTTTTCTTGAAAATCGAGGGGTAAAGTTGCGTATTTTTAAATTTTAAATTTTTTATTTATGACCAATTTGATGAAAAATTAAGTAATGAATCTTTGTCATCCATTTACAAAGTAACAATGGTCAATATATTTCCAACTCATCAGTCATCATGAAATATTAGTGATCAGCGTGAAACTCTCACTAGCCAATCAAAACGTGAATGTCACGACTATTTATCTTGGATACAAAATGTTGAAATTCAAACTTAACATATTGAAAACAATGATAATGAAAGCAAGAGTAAGAAAATATTACAAGGTTAGTTTCTTAATGTTTAATCTTTTCTCTAGTTAGGAAGTATGAAAGTAATTTATTAATGTTAGTTATAGTTGTATCAAGTAAACTTTTTAATATTATTGTCGTTGGTGGTGGTGGTGTTGAAACGTAGTATTTAGTGATTCTATTGTTTTATTTATTTGTTGTTGTTGTTGTTGTTTATTTATTTGTTCCTGTTGAGATTGTTAAATTGTAATCCAGTGTGTCGAAACTATGTGTCGAAAAGATTTGATTTGTTTTAGATTTAAATAGATTTGATTTAAGTCTAGAATAGATTAGATTTGATTTAGTAACAAAATAGATATATTGGGTTTTGGGCTTAGAGTGTAAGCTCAGTTATAAATAAAGGGAGTAACCCCTATTTTTGTAAGCAAGTCAATTAAGTTGTATTCACAGAATTTGCAGTTGCAAGTGAATAACAAAGTTTTCACAGTTTGTGAGCAGAGAAAAACTCTGCAGAAATTATTTGTCTTGTCTTTTTCTTTATTTTTTCTCATAACTAATTGTCATTGTGGTAGAAATTCATCATATAATTTGGTGGATTTCCAACATCTGGTATCAAGAGCTTTGTTTCGATTCAAGGGAAGTATCAATCAAGAACGATTGAAGAATTCACGATGACAAGTTATAGGAATGCAAACTATCCATCAACACTACCAATCCTGAAAGTTGACAACTATGAGAATTGGTGCAAACAGATGAAAGTCTTATTCAGGTGTCAAGGCCTTTGGGACCTTGTAAAAGATGGAGTCGAAGCGCTTGGAGAAAACGCTTCAGAAGAAGAAAAGAAGGAATACACAGAATCTGAGAAGCTGAGTTATAAAGCATTATTTATAATTCATTAATGTGTCAGCCCAGACAATTTCGAAAATGTTAGTGATTCAGAATCTGCAAAAGAAGCTTGGGAAATCCTTGAGAAGTCTTTTGGAGGCGTTGTGAAAGTGAATGAAGTGAGGTTACAAAATCACAAAAGGACTTATGAACTGCTTCAGATGGAAGACAGTGAAAACATATCTGATTTCTTCACTAGAGTTACAAAACTAGTAAGTCAAATCAAGATATGTGGAGAAACGTTAACAACAAGAGTTGTTGTTTCAAAGATTTTAAGATCTTTGGCCCCTAAGTTCTACCACATAGTGGTAGCGATAGAAGAGGGGAAAGACTTGTCGAAATTGACAAAGAAAGAGCTTCAAGGGATGCTTGAATATCATGAACAAAGAATGAACGAAAGAGCTGCAGGCAAATCAAAGAGTGATGTGGCCTTGCAGGCACATTCAACAAAAGAGACCAAAGACAAAGGAAAGTGTTTCGACAAAGGTAGAGGTGGCTACAATAAATCGAATGGTAGAGGAAACCAAATCGAAGGAAACGTGTCGAATCAAAGAAGACCATACCAAGGCAACCAAAAAGGTGGTGTTGCAAATAGAGGAAGAGGTGGTGGTCGAAAACCTGATAAGAGTTACATTCAATGTTACACTTGTCAGAAGTATGGACACTCTTCGAGTGATTGTCTAGAAAAACGAAAGAATCAAGAAAGTGATGTAAAGCTTGCAAAACATGAAGAATAAGAAGAGATGGTGCTGATGGTCACAACAAGAGATGAAGATAGATTCAAGGACCAATGGTACTTGGACTCAGGATGCTCATCACATATGTCTGGAAGGAAAGACTGGTTTGTCAATATAAATCCCTCAATGAAAAATATGGTAAAATTTGCAAATGACAATACCCTAGCAGCTGAAGGTATTGGTGATGTTATGATTATGAGGAAAGATGGAAAAAGATCAGTAATCTCCAATGTGTTATACACACCAGGCATGAAGAGCAACTTGCTCAGTATAGGGCAGTTGGTCGAAAAGAATTATAAAGTATCAATCGAAGATAAGATGATGAGAGTCGTTGATGCAAATGGGAGATTAATCTTGAAGGCTACTATGTCTCAGAATCGAACCTTCAAGATTGAACTAAATGTGACGGAGCACAAGTGCCTTTTGACTGCAGCTAGTAGAGATGAATGGATATGGCATTATAG